TGTACTGTGCATCAGATGACAGGTGACAAAGGTAACCGGGATGGCACATGATAATTTAGGCAACCAGTTATTGATCGTAAACCATATAACATGAACTTTATATATAACTTCTGATCTCACAATAATCCCACACATTAGGTCTGGTCTCCCCTTTACAACAAGGAAAAATAAGACTCAGTGAGTTGAAATAAGGTCCACAGAGATAGTAAATGCACAGAGTGGGATTTCAACCATAGGTTGTCAAGAGATCATACCCAGAATGCTCCATTCTACTTGTACCATTCCAGAAAAGCCTTCAAGTAGGTAAGGAAAATATGACTTCACAGGGATAATGACAGGAGAAAAATATACAGTAATTAGTAATTCATAAGAAATTACAGTAGCACATGCTTGTAATCCCAGCAGCTAAGGAGGCTAAGGCAGGAGGATCGTGAGTTCAAAGCTAGCCTCAACGACTCAGTGAAACCCTAACCAACTCAGTGAGAACTTCCCTCTCTTCCCTCTAAAATAAAATATTTTAAAAAGGGCCAGGGATATGACAAGTAGTTAAGCAACCCTGGGTTTAATTCTTGACACAAAAATTTTAAAAAAGGAAGAAAGAAATTACAGCATACACTTATACTGTCTCATTTCCTTGATAATACTTCAAAATAAATAATTGTGTATATATGTATAACATAAATAAATGTACACATATATACATACATGGATATAAAATGTTAGTTTATCCCTGGAGTGTTTATATATACAGTTAAAATAAACTTTCAGACACAAATCAGGGATCCACACTCCAATTGAGCATCCTGAATCCAAAAATCTGAACCTCCAAAATCTAAAACCTTTTGAATGCCAATAGGATGCCAAAAGTGGAAAATTCCACACCATTACATTAAATTTTTTTTTCATACAGAAGATTACTTAAAATATTGCATGAATTACCTTTAGACTATATGCATAAAGCTCATGTTACAGTTTGGATGCAGGGTGTCTCCCAAAAGCTCCAGTGTTAATGCAGAGATATTCAGAGGTGAAGTGGTCGACTATGAGAGCTGTGACCTCATCAGTCCACCCTAGTTTGAATGGACTGACTGGGTGGTAACTGTAGGCAGATGGGGCATGGTTGGAGAGGGGGTCCCTGGGGGCTACCCTGGAAGGATTCACTCTCCCTGTAGCTCCTTCCTCCCCTCCTGCTGTCTACTTCCTGACCCAGCCATGAACTGAACAAGGCTCCTTTGCTGGGCCCTTCATCCATATTTGCTGTATCTGGGGCCCAGAGCAAGCATTCAACTGACTGGAGACTGAACCTCTGAAACAGCCCCAAACACACTTTTCCTCCTCTAAATTGTTCTTGTCAGATATTTCAGTCACAGAAACAAAAAAACCTAACTAACACAACTACAGAGCCATACTATCAACCCTTCTCAAGTATATTTGAAGCATAAATTAGTTTCATGTTTAGATTTGCTTCCCCAAACTTTACATATATCATTATATATACAAATATTCCAAAATCTGGAAAAATCTGAAATGAAAAACTTCTGATCCCAAGCATTTCAGATAAGGGACATTCACCTTGTAGAAGTACATTCCAACTATCACATCATAATATGCTTTAAATAATTGGTTAACTGCCATTAGGAGATGCAAGGGGGAAAAATGTCAAAAAGAGCATTAGTGAAAATACAGAGATTACTCTCAAACTTACAGACAGGCCGCTGCTCAGAGAACTCAAGATACCAGCAATCATTTAATCAGAACTCTTAATATATAGAAACCCTAGCTGTCACTCAATATCAGAATTAATAAATTTTTGTACAATAGGTAACTAACACTATTGATGTATCTATATTACATATCAGCCCAAGCAATAGTCAAACACATTCATATTCGTACATCTAGGAACAAGGCTATTCATCCTAAGCAGGATGAATAAATAAAGACTATAATAAATAGTCTCATGTCAATTCAAAGCTTTCTGTTATCAGAGCTTTTGGGGATTTGGGCATTGTAGATAAGATCTTGTGGGCCTGTAATTGTGAATGGCCAAATTATTTAGACCAACATCAATTCCTATAAAACATTTCCCTTAAAGATGATATTAAGCTTTACACACAATGCTCTGCTAACATTACTCCTTGTTTAAGTATAATCACCCTTCACCCCTCCAGAATCAGACCGACAATGATGTATATTCAGAATATGGCTGGGAGGAGATAAGAAGAGAGACTTGGCAAAAGGCCTCTCAGAGGCCATTAGACTGGACACAATGGCCACCTAATAGACAGTGTTACATTATTCATAGAAGAGGCCCCCATATCTTTAATCTGATCTGGTTTCTAAACTCAACCCAGATAAGAACCAGTAAGCCAAATCACACACAGATCTGAGAGGCAGGTACACAAAACAGTCACCAGTAATCGCTGACATTCTGATAACAAAGAAGAAAAATGAAAGTCTTGCTAAAGATGAGATGAGCCTCATGGAACAAGCAAAAAGGCTTGAATCCAATTCCTGCTCTGCCAATAGGAGCTGTGTAAATTGCAGTAATCTTTACCGTCTCTGAGCTTCAGTTAATTCACCAACAAAACACAGATGAAAATGCTTGCCTGCCCCCTATGGTTACTGTGAGGATCAAAGGAAAAAAAAATATGAAGAGCTGAGCAGAGTGCCTGATGATGAGAACATGCACAATAAAATTTATAAACTAAAAGTAAAGCACACAATCACACAAAGCATAGCAACCTGAATAAATTTACTACCAAAGCTTCAGAACCCAGCACAGAGGTATTATCACCTTTCACTTGAGGAAAAATACCATTTTGGTTTTCTAGGTGAACCTGAGCATGCCGCTTAGCTTTTCTGAGTGAGAGAGGGAGATTAGACCACATAGTCTCAAAGGAGGTGAGAAATAGTTCTTGCCATGGGGGAGGAAGGACAGAAAAAATGCCCTGTTTTTATGTATGTAAAGCACAACTATTCAGTACAGATATGGACACACGTGATACCACACTATTGAATTTTCATAAGGGGCTGGGCTCTATGAAGGCGTCTTAGAGAAGACATAATGAGAAAGGTTGAGAAACACAGGTTTAGATAAACTGTAGGCTCATGTACAGCTGCTAAAGTTCCTTAGTTCTATCTCTGCAACAACAATGTTAAAAATTTCAAAGTGTTTTCTATGTCATATATGATCTTTCCACACTTGATGTAATGAAATTTTAAAAAATTAATAAAGTCAAGAATTTGAAAGAAGTTTAACAGAGGTTCTCATACTTTAAGAAGGAAAAATTTATATATTCCAAAAAAAGATGTCCATTTAAAACAATTAATAATATAAATATTACTGCTTAAAACAGAAAACTCTGAATATATAGAAACCCTAGCTGTCACTCATGGGGATCCTCTGAGCCACAGTTTTGTTGTTATTTTTCTGACTTTATAAATAATAACATATCTGAATCTTGTCCAAATATTAATAAAAGTGCTTATTCCTCCCCCCAAAAAATTGCAAATAGATACTGAGCAAGGATGATTTCTTGTAACAATGATAAACTTGGAATATGTGGTTGTCTCTGCTATGATAAATGAAAGATCACCTTGGAATATAATTCATTTTTAATTGCTTCTTCCATCGAATCTCACTACTGCTGTAGGCTGTCTTAAAATATTTACAAAGTAAAAGCCAAAAAAAAAGAACTGGATATACTAAATAAAGCAGGCCACTCATTCCTAAGTGATCAATTTTTTTTCTGGTATTGTTTAAAACATAAACAAAGTCATAACTCTTTGCACATGGAATTTTTGGTAAAACATAAGATGAAATACATTTAGGGATTATATCAGGGTTCAAGCTGGTTTTAATTCACCTGCTATCCCTGCCTCAGTTATGGGATCCAAACTCTATCCAAATAATCTGTTACCATAAAAGAGAAAAATTATGCTAACATGCTAGGAAGATCAAAATTACAGTCACTCTCCTTTAACCTTTTTGAAGCTCTGTATTTTTGCCACTCCAGTCTCGTGTCCCCCAGTGTCCTACGTATGTCCAGCAACACATTCAAGCTCCTGTGCTTCCCTCATAATTCTCTTCTGGAGTTTACAGAACTGCTTGAAAGATTCTAACTGAAAACAACATTCAAGAAATGCATAAAAATTCTTCCATGTCGAACTTTAATAAATGCTTGACCATAGTTTATTACCAGGAATATATATACCATAAAGTGTTCTGATCACTATCAATTTTATTCACTGCAAAATAAATGTAATTTGATATCAAATTAATTTTCAGGAAGTTGCATTTAAATAGATAAAGATGTTGGAGAAATCACGGTTTCACCTAGACACAGACATTCCCAGCACCATGCATAAAGTCAACACTCTATACTGATGAATATAAATTTGCATCTTGAAGATATGCTAACTACTGTTTACAACTCCTCACATCCTAGATGTTCAAGTGACAGGAAAATCTCTCTTCTAAAGACATACGCTATTTCAGGCCATTCCAAATACACTGACTAGTCAGTAACCAGAAAGAAAAGATAATAAGTTAATTAAAGTCCTAAAGTCACATAAATCATTTCAGAAGTACAGTGTTGAATCCATAGCATCTGATCTTCAACTGAGGAGACCCAGCCAAATACTATACCATTGTAATTATTATTACCCTGAGGCATCTGTAAATATCTGTTACTTACCAGAGTACTACAAAATGTATTTGAGATAATACTGAGAGAAATCAGAATAATCATTGGCAAGATTTAGGCTTATTCAAGGGAAAACGGCATTGTAGAAATTCAACTAGATATTGAGTAAATACACATTCTGTACTAAGTAGGCATGATAATATCAACTCAGCATATCACACTATAAAAATAAAAATAATAATGAAATGTACTTCTAGTAGCTACAAATTTGGGGGCTGTTTCCATGAGAAAACCAAAAATAGTCAAATTCTCAATTTAACATTATGCATTCAATTGCCAGGGTCATAGAATTACCTTTGCTTTAGATTGATCCATGATGTTTTCAGATACTCAGTAGTTTCCTTCACATTCCTTGTGTCATCACTACCATATTCCTCCAGCAGTTTCTGCAGGACATTATCAAATGCCATGATGACACCATCGCCAGGACCCAGTTCTTGAAGCAACATCTAAGGTGCAAGTTCAAGTATAATTGTTAGACCTGGTCATTTAGCAATTACCATTACACAAACACTGCTTCCAAGGGTGTTTTAACATGTGTGAGACCCAGACATCACAAGAAGAAAACAAATTAGGGGACAAACTCTTGCATGTAGGCTTAAACCAAAAGAATTCTAGAAATGGAAAATGTCTAAGAAATCAGGTATGTGGCAGATGATATTGATTATATTTTCCTCTCTGAGATATTTTATTTCCTCAAACCATCTGTCCCTCTCATGCCTTCTGCTATACATCTAAATCTTACAGGAATGTGCATCATATAGGAATTGAACACACACAGAGTTCCTCTGTATGTGCTTGGAGAAACAGCAAGAACCAACAATGGTGGAATTCTTCTGCCTCTTGCCCCTGGATCGCTGCACGTGTTTACAAAGTTAATTGCTTGGATAGATCAAGCAGTGAGCAAGGTTTACAGAGAATCTGCCTGGGTAGCTAAACTGAGACTGAGTACATCCACAGGCAATGGTATCTTGACACTTTCTGTCCCTGAAAGTTTCTGAAACAAGAATCTCCACATGAAATCTGAGTAACAACTATGATCCTCTAAGGATTTTTGTAGCAACTGGAAGAAAAATCCAGCCTAGAGAAATGAACCACACTGTTAATTAGAGAAGCAAACAGACCTCCCTTGGTATCTGTGGAAAAGTAGTTCCAAGAGCCTTCCCCTCCCATGGACATCAAAATTCACAGAGATGCTCAAGTCCTTGATATAAAATGGTGCAGTATTTGCACAAAATCTATGCATATCCTCCTGTACACTTTACTTGTATTCCCTAATATCATTTAAATGCTATATAAATAATTGTTATACTACATTGTTTATGGAATAATTACAAGGACCTTTTTAAAAACTTTTTTACATGTTCAATACAGATGCAACCATCACAGATCTAACTACATAGCATACAATCCCTGGTTGATTGAATCTGTGGATACTAATCACACAGACACAAAGAGCCAACTGTGTTCCAAATAGGATGACTGAATCATGGGTATTATTTTTTTACTGTATTTCTCTACTTAAGGTGCAGGGCTTTGCTATTACTTTTGAGTTGTTTGATAGAAATGATCAGCAGGTGTCATAAACACAGAAAATGATTCAGAAACCAATCCCCCTGGCCACTTGCTTTTTAAATTGTAACCATGGAAAGTCTACACTTGTGAAGAATAAAATCATACTTCCAGGTTTTAGATTCTGTTTCCCACACAGTCTTTATTATTACATTCTTCATCAATGTGCACTTTCACCTGAAGTTACCTGAAGGGTAAATAAAACGTTCCACCAAAATATAACCTCACAGCTAATACACCCTCCAACTCAAGAATATTTTCTGTTATTATAAGAAAGAATTCAAAATAACATTTTAAAAATACAATAAGTATTCACTATTATCAACTCTAATCAAACTGATCAACAGTGGAACCTACATATTGATAAGTGTGGATATAAATGTATTAAAAGAAACTAAACTTACTTATTAACTCACTTGCTCACCACAGTAGCACTCAAATCAAAGCCTCAAGAAATTTTACAAATACAAATAAGCTCTGGGGTAGGCAAGAAAGAAACTAAAATGAGGATTCTGGGATCCTACAAGATGTTCTTTTTCTAGATGTTAGTTCGTGAGGATTTTTCATTAGCCAAAAAAAAAAAAATCTATTTGTTAGGCTTCCAGAAATTATTCAGAAAAACTTCCTGATCAAATGCTTCATATAAATTCAATATATATTCTAAGAACTTAGGAAAACATCAAGACAGGCTTCTAAGAAAAATAGAAAAAGCAAGTCTAAGGAAATGGCACTGCTGAGCAATAGCCAATGAGTCTTACTTGATGATCAGAGATCTGTTTGGAAAGCGGATCCCTCCGGGCTTGCTGGAGCATGTAGAGTCGAGCCTCGTATTTTCTCATCAGTTCCTCCGTCTCCTCCCTGTGGTCAGCCCACTGAAGACTGTCCACAATCATGTCCTCCAGTTGCTGCCGACGCAGATCCACCCCATGCTGGGTGCTGTCCCACTGGTTCTTTACCTTTTCCACTAGGGAAACAGATAAGGAGTAGTCCCCAAAAGTAACTATCAGGAAAGGGAAAAAAACAACTGATCCCTGATTGATCATAGAAAGTCTATGATAGAAAAGGAAAAGAGGGCAATTGACAAAGACATTTGAAAGGAACTATAATATATGTCAGACACACTATACTATATATATAGTATGTGTGTATATATATACATAAATATTTCTTACTATTAATCATATATGTGCATGTGTATATATATATATTTCTTATTTTAAAAAATCTTTATTTTAAATTAATTTATTTATCTTTTTAAATGTGGTGCTGAGGCTCGAACTCAGCACCTCGCACATGCTAGGAGAGCGCTCTACAACTGAGCCCCAGCCCCAGCCCCATATTTCTTATTTTTTAATGAGTTAGGATCTTGCTATGGTGCTGAGGCTGGCATCAAATTTGCAATCCTCCTGTCTCCACATCCTGAGTTGCTAGGACTACAGGCATGTGCCACTATGACTGGATTTTAATAGAAATATTTCTGAAACCATTCTTGAAGAAAAATTTTGGATTAAACTCAACTTGAAGTGCACCAAAACATCTCACAATAAACATATCTATTAGTATTAGCTGATAAAGCAAAAAAAGGAAGCAGAAGAAGAAAAAAATATCCTTTTTAATGTTGTATTTACAGAACCCAGTTTGATAAAGTAGAATTTAGCAGTACATTAAGACACAGATATAGTTACTTGATACCCTCAAAAGAGATTCTCTAAGGCAGTACAGATTTTAAAAGAGAACAAACTACTTAAGAATATTTTTCACTTTTTTTTTCTTTTATTGTACCATGAAACCTGTTTGATTGGGTATAAGGGTAGAGTACTGGGAATTGAATAAGGGGGTATCCTACCACTAAGCTACATCGCAGACCTGTTTTTATATTTATTTTGTGATAGGATCTTGCTAAATTGCTGAGGTGGGCCTCAAATTTGCAATCCTCCTGCCTTAGCAGCCCAAGTAGTTGGGATTACAAGTGTGCACCACTGTGGCAGGCCAAGGAAGTAAATATTCTTATACTTTCAAGTTCAAGAGAAACACTAAAAGTAAAGAAGATTCAAGTTCTATGTACCTAGGAACCTTCAAACATAAAATTCAACACCGGCTCTTTACCTCCCATTCTTTGAGTTATTTCTACTCCTCTTTCTCGTGTTCTCCCTTTCTGTCTCTCCCTGACCTCTCCTTTCCTCTCTTCTCCTCTTCTTTTCTTTCCTGTCCTCTTCTCTGATCCCATCTCCTGTGCTCCTCTCTGTTCTTTTTAACATGGAGTTATGAAACAAGAACATTAAAGACATTTAAGCTTTTGATTAATGTCTTCAGGGGCAGTTCATAATCGTGAACTAAAATACCAGTAAACAGCAGCTCTGAATACCAGAAACAACTCACAGGCAATAGGAAAGAGAAGGTTCAAACAAACAGCTAGATGATGCTTGACAGACCACCTGAAAGACTATAGCTTTTAAGTACCCGCCCCAAGAAGAACCTAAATACAAGATAGCATTCCGGCTGAGTTATAAAGAATATTCTGATAAAATTCTTGGAATTGTATAGGGCTACAACAAACCATAAAAGCTGTCAACTTGAGGTTGTTCAGAAGGCCAAAAGTTAGACTGATGTGTCATAAGAAATTGCTCAATAAGATTATCTTTTTTTAATGCTGCCTTCATAGTTTAAAAAAAGTTAAAGTTTTTAACATAAGGAAAGGGAAACAAATCTATCATGATGTTCTCCCTTTCCATAAGAAAATTACATAAAGTACTTGTGACCAATTCTAGTACTAATAGAATATTTTAATACTAAACAAAACATAAGACATCAAGTGACAGTAAATATCACAGGTTTACCATGAAAAACAAGCAAATTATTTGATTCATTGTAAGTGCTAAACACAGGCTCCTTGTGAAGGTACACTCCAGCTGAGGAGGGTGTTTTATATAGTGAGTAGCTATGAAGATTACATAGCCTCTACACACACACACACACACACACGGAAAGAAAATAAAAGAAGGTGCTCAATGGGAAAGGGAAGACATTCAGGGGAAGGATAAAATCAGCCTTAGAATAAGTTTTGATAAAGAGGTAACTGAAGAAAACATCAGAGGGTAGTAAAGCAAACCAGAGATGGCTTTGTCAACAGTGTGGTGTCATTAACAGAGGGGGTCCCTGCCAGGGGAGGGCAAATGGGACCATCCACAGCCCCTGCAACAGGCAGGATCAATCATCCAACACAGAGCCAGAGAAGGAAGGAAACCAGCCCATATCATCACACACCCAAATTCTTTGCTAACTCATCTCCACAGTAACCTTGTTGCTACCACATTTATTTTGAATTCAAAACACACACATAGGTGCTAATGCAAATAGTTGCCTTTCTCCCCTTCAGAAAAATTAGACTTTCTTCTTCCAGTTTACATTCTGCCACATATATTTATTTATTAAGTACCTAATTTGAATTGGGCCCTGCAGGAGGCCCAAGGGTTATAAAGGTGAATATTCATTCTCTAGAAGGGAGAGAGAATTAAAGTAGCTCTGAGATCTACAGTTATGAGGAATAAGGCCACAGCAGGAACTAAAGCTATAAAACAAGAATAGTATGGCCGAGACTTCACAAAGGGGTGACATTTTAGCAACTGAGTAAAATTTCACCCGGAGAAAAAAGGCCAGAAGGAAAAAATAATAACCTGAATGAAGGGAAGAAGACCAGGAAATGTCGGGACATTTGAAAGAGTATATATAGTACAGAATGCTATAGACGGGAGAGGTGACAGACGAGGAGATTGTGACAATCCCCAAACGTCTAGACCTTGTTCTGTATGCCACGCAAATTCAAGACGCTTTGGAACTCAAATGTGAACTCCAAAGGAGGATTTCCGTTGATGTTTTGTATGTTCCCTTTTTTTGTTGTTTAGTTTTGTTTTGAAGAAAGAACCTCCAAAACTAGTGACAGTCACACAGGCACGCAGCAGTTGCTCAACAGACATCTGTGCAATGAGTTTGAAGTGAGCTCAACGACACACCAACACCCAGTTTTAGTGAATAAAGTACAACTAAAGAACAGATTTTCATTCCTTTAGGTTTCTCTGACTTGTGTTGTTTTGATTTCTTTAGAAGAAACCTAACTGCAGGATGTGGTGGCACAAACCTAAGGCAGGAGGATCCCAAGTTCAAGGCCAGTCTGGAAAACTTAGAGACACCTTGCCTCAAAATAAAAATTAAAAAAGGTCTGGGGATGAAGCTCAGTGCTAAGCCCTGGTGTAAGTCCCTAATACCACCACTTAAAAAAAAAAAAAAAAAAAAAAACCACTTATGAAAAAAAAGTCCAATGTGTAATTGCTTAAAACTAATATTAATACATTGAAGAATTATAAGGGAATTGTGACAATGTTCACAAAAAGTTAAAAAAAAAGAGGAGGTATATTTATTTTTCATAAATAAAAAGTAATAAACACCAAATAATATTAACTTCTAGTTGAAGAATCTTTGAAAATGTGTGTGTGAAAGAGAGAAAGAGAATTGTTTTCAGGAAAAGTGGATGATGATATGCAATTTTTTAAAAAACTCACATTTTTCTGTGATTGCTGTTCTCACATCTGAACTGGAAGCTTTGTTTTTCAAGTTCTGTGCCAACGTAAAAACATAATCGAGCTGAGGATGGCGCTGTTCTAAGTCAGCTTTTGTGATCTGTTAAGAGAAATGATTATTAAGATATGTTAACAAGCGATACATTGAGAACAGTAACTAAGCAAACCGGTTTGGTGATGTCAAAGTTGTCACCGTCATCGTTTGCCTCCGCTAAGGCAGGCATCAGCAATGAGGCAGAGGAAGAGTCAGAGATCTTGGGTTCAAATCTCAGCTCTTCCACTAACCACCTGGTACCTTACTTCTGTGTGCCTTAGCTTTCACACACACACACACACACACACACACACACAATAAGATAGTGACAATTAAGACGTATCAAGTCTGAGCAAACTAAGAAAATCCCTCTAAAGAATATGAGCAGTTAGTGCTGCTGATGCCTGGTGCACCTCTTCTGCACCAGACATGTGTACACACAGCATCCCCTGTGGGATACGGTGACATTATTAGAAAAATGCTAATCACAATAATTTTAAGTTAAATCATCTTAGACGTGAAAACCGGTATTCCTCGATGGACTGAAGCTCTTGTTGCTGATAAATCCGGACAAAAAGCTAACGAATTCAGAAAGTATGGTTTAATTATAAAATAAGTACAAATAGAGTGACAAGATGTTCCTGGGCTTTTCACTTTATGAATCCACTTGCTTTATGGACTTCAATCTCTTCTACAGTGACAAATGTTATTTCTAAGTGGATTACTAACAACTTCCAATCCTGGATCCCAGACTAGGTTTCCATGAATGTTGTTCACTTTCTTCTCAACAACATAAGGACCCCTCAGCACAACAAATCCAAAACCACTTCCCTCAGACCTTCATTCACACCCATTTCTCCTACTTCTTATTTCTGCTAATTGTAACACGTCCTCTCAGCCCCTCGGCAAGGGCTCTTTCCTTTGGTTTAAGCATCTCTTGCCTCCAATCCATCCTCATCCTCTTACTGAAGCAAAGCATCGTTATCACCAGTTCCCAGCTGCAATTCAGAAAAGAAAAGGCAGTGGGGGAAAGATGTGTCCCAACTGCTTTCACAGGAAAACTCTACAGGGCTCTAACAGCCTGCAAGCTCCTCCACAAAGGGAACTGGAGCTGCCTGTCCCACCGCACCCCCCACTGTGTCTCCTTCTTGCACAAATGTTGACCCAAAGGCTCCTCATCACCAACCCATGCCTCCTGTCTCTTCCCTATCCTGGAAGGTCACTGACATTATTTTCAGATGTCAAAATCCCACCGCCTGCCTTCCAGCACTTGGCAGAAGCCACCCTCTGCTCACCCTGGCTCCCCTAACAGGTGGCCTGCCCCTGCCCTGGGACATTTTATTAGACTTTGTCGTTGTAACTTTTCTCTGGAGGGTTACTCAGTGCCCCTGACTCTTTCAGTTGGGGCTTATTAAGGACATGGGAATAAAACAGCACCTACCTCAAAGGACTGTGGGAGAAGCAAATAAGATCAATGTAAAAGGCTTAGAAAAATGCCCAGCACACACTGAGCATTTAGCAATAGTTGTTTTATTATTTTATTATAAATTCCCTATTTCTTTTCTTTTCTTTCTTTTCCTTCCTTCCTTCCTTCCTTCCTTCCTTAATTTGGGTACCAGGGATGGAACCCGGGGACACTTAACCACTGAGCCACGTCCCCCAATATGATATAATCCATCACTAGGTCTTTTAATTTGCTTCCCTAAAACAATCTTTATATGAAAATAATAGACCCAGCCCTTTTTTATATTTTATTTCAAGACAGGGTCTCACTGAGTGGCTTAGGGCCTTGCTAAGCTGCTGAGGCTGGCTTTGAACGCACAATCCTACTGGCCTCAGCCTCACAAGCCATTGGAATTTCAGGTGTGTGCCACCACACCTGACTACATTCCCTATTTCTATCTGAAAGATTCTTTTCAGTATTCTTTTAAAACACACAGCTCAGAGTCTAGCACACTTAATACGGAAATAGATTTTTACATACTGATATTAGATGGTATATGTACAATAATAAAACTGTGGTTAGGATACTTATTTCTAAAGTCAGAAATGAAATGAGCTCATTATGAAAAATGAGCTGAAATAGAGCCCTGGGAAATTATCCTACATCACACCGGGCATTAAATGGAACACCAGCTTGCATTTATACCAACATGCCTAGCTTCGTGATATCAGTTTTAGAGTTTAAAAATACACTGAGTCTTTAGATGAAGTCTGAAAAGCTTCATTCTTTGCAGTTAGTCTGGGGTGGCTGTTTGGCAGATAATGTTTTTTTTTAAACCTCATTCTTTCAGAGTTGTGGATAAACAAAGGGGACCCAAGCAGATCTGGTAGAACCTGGGTCGTGGTACCACCCCCACAAGCCTTTCCACCATGCACCTACTTTCATTCGGGAAACAGTCCTATTGATCTCTTCCACATCCCCAACAGTGACGATGTTGGACTTCAGCATCTGGTCAATCAATACCAGCCAGTCAGCGAGTTCTGTTATGGTTTTATCCAGATCAGCAGGAACCGAGATTTCTGAGGTACGCTGAGGGTGAACGGACATGTCTGATGCAGAGGATACTAGCGCCACCTTTTGGACACTAGGGTGAGCTGGAAAAAACATGTAGCAAAGTAAGAATAAGGATAAAAGAATAAGAATAAAAATAAAAATAAGGATATTTTTAATATGGTAGTATAATAATGACAGGCATATGTATATGTGTATTCAAGTAAAATTTAGTTTAAATTAAAAAATTTTTAAGAAGCTTATACTTTTTCATATTGAAATGGCTATGGCATAACCTGAAATAAGCACGTCTTTGTAGTTACTTGGCCATCAAGCCAATTAAAGCATCTCACAAAGTCCAAAGCCAGCAATAATAACTCAAAGGATATCAACACACATTATGAGAGAAAACAAATAAATAATACAATAACTGGGGGAAAACTAGGAGTATTATTTTACTGGGTCAAGATGTTTTCCTTAATTACAAAGCAAATATATGTGTTACTTTCTCTTCTCTTTGCATTTAACTTTATGACATGAGGATATTTCATTTTTTATTAATGTGAATACCTATGTAATAATGCACATTTATATTCCCTAATTTGTGCTTAGATACATACATTGCTCCTTAAATGTTTTCTTTAAAAAAGAACTTATAAGATATATCTTTTTGCATAGAGTATATTCCACATTTTTAATCACTACCTTAGCAGAGATTTCCCAAAGTAGCGATAGTGGATCAGAAAATATTTTTAAAGGCATATGTTTAATACTCATTGCCAAATGGCTTTACTTAAAAGTTGGAAATTTACATTTCCTACAGCAGCTTGTAGAACTGGTCAATATCCCACGTCTACATGACAGGCATCTATTTCCATGGATAAACACACATCTGTCACTACTGTTCTTAGTTAATGGATTTTATTGCTAGTAATAGTAAATATTTTTCATGCTTACTAGCCAAATGTGATATAATTTATCACTAGGTTTTTAAATTTGCTTCCTTATCAATCTGAATGAACAATATTTATATGGAAATGATAAACACTTGCCAAATCATTGAAAATTATGCTTATGAGGACCTTTTAAAATGTATTGTGAGGGTTTTTTCCTCCATTTTTCTTAACATACAGCTATTAACAAACTTGAGATAATAAAAGTCATATATCTTTCTTGGGGGATCATTATCCCAAGAGTTTGAAAGTTAGAAACTCTTGTCTTCTCCAACAATTTGATAAATATTTTCTTTCGTTTTTGGTTTTCGTTTTTTGTTTGGGGGGAGGGTGAAGGGCATTAAATACTGTTTTTCTTTGGTCTCTAATATGAGGTAGTTAAATGAATGATTAAACCTACCTGGAACCTACTGTAGCATGTGATATATTGGATGAGGTTTAAATAATATTCTAAAAAATACAAAGTATAAATTCAGTACAATTCTAATCAACATACCAACAGTTTTGAGCATAACTTGGCAAAATCACAGATACAAAATCTTGGTTGAAAAATTAATACAAAGAAAAGTACCAAAAAGAGATTAAAGCAAATATCTCTGTAAGAGGGATGAGCCCTACCACCTATTTAGTTGTTGTCCTTAAATAATGACAATTATCTCCCTGTATGATGAACTCACACATGCTAACAAACCAATGGAAGAGAAGAGCCACGGAGTATAGGTGGCACCAAATGTGCCCCTGGCAGTGATTGCATCATAGATCAATGTGGAAGAACATATCATTTAATAAATGATGCTGTCAAAGCAATGACCAATGGCTGGAGTGAGGAAATGATGGATAGATTTCGACCTCACGTGCATCATAGGAAAATTAATTCTTGGTAGATGAAGGGAATAAATAAGGAAACCAAAATTGTGAGCTAATGGAATAAAGAATATCTTTATGACTTAAAACACAAAAACAGTAAATTATTAATAAACCCTAAGTGTTTAACAATTCTGAAAAGAGCACTATAGAGATTTTAAAAATCTAAAAGATAAAGGGAGACAGGATTGACTGTGCACATTGAAGACAAAGAATTAGTAACCAAATGCTTTTTATAAAACTGAAAAAGTCAACAATTGACAAAAAGGGAAAGAAAACACTTAACCTGAATAAAGAAAAGTTCAACTTTATGAGTAACTGAATAATCCAAATTAAAATGAAACACTCTGCTCACGCAAGTCAGGGGTTGGCAAAGCAGCATCTGGGAAGCCCAGGCTTCCTGGCGACCCTTCGAAGGGGCTGGCACACTTAAACTTTCATCATTATCATGCATTCTTGCCTTTTCTTGCCCCTTCTCCCAACAGCAGAGCAGTACTTCACCAAGGCTACATAACAGGTGGCATCGCAACAGACCAAATGCAGAAGCAGACAGGAGAACCCAGTTGTCTTCCATGGAGTCAGATATTGAAAAGATTTTGAAGATATAAAGCAATGTCACTTTCCTAATCTCCTGTTTACTTGGAAAAGTAGTTTCTTATATTAACATTTTCTAAAAAAAATGGTATTTTTATTATGGTTTTATTAGTGTGATTCTTAAACTAATAAATCATTTTGAAACTTGTTTATAACTAGCTAAATATGATAGAGAGAACTCTTTGTGGTCTTTGTGGGTCCTCTGCCCAATCTTCACTGTAGCTTTCTTTGTTGTTGTTTTTTTTAATCATTCTTCAAATCATCAAATACCTATTAAAAGACTATAAGATTCAAGGCACTTTGAAGATGCTATGAATATAGAAGTGTGAAAGACACGGTCCCTGCCCTCTTGGAACCTGCACTCTGGAGCAGGACACTGATATATACACCATGAAGCAAAATGAATGCAAAAGATAGAGTCAGGATGTAGTTGAGATGTGATAGGCAGGAAAAGGCCTATTCAAGAAGATCTTTGTCGAAGAACTGGATGAAGTGAGTCTGAAACATGCAAATATCTGAGGGAAGGACTTTGGGGAAGAAGAAGAAACAGCAGACACAAAACCTAGAGATGAGAATGTCCTCGGCATGTTTGAAACAGTGAGACCACCAGAGGGTCTGAAGCAGAATGAACAAAGGGGACAGCAATAAGAAATGTGATTAGGGATAGCCAGTAGGCAAGTCAGACATGATAAGACTTTGGAACTCACTATGTGGACAGAACTTATTGAAAGATGGCAAACAAAGGAGGGAACAGAATCAGAAAGAGGAGCCACGAAAACATTCCTACAACCTAGATGAAAGAGGAGAGTGTTCAAGGCCAAGGAAGGAGTTGGGATGGGGCACAGGCGGACGCAACTTACTGATGGATTGGATGTGAAATCCAGAGAAGAGTCAAGGATGACGTCAAGTCTACTGGGTGAGAATAGGCTCAATTTTCTAAAGTTAAGCAAGTGTCTACATTTATGTGACAGGTGAACATACCCAGAAAAGAGAGTTCTGGGGTTTGCCATGTATCTGTGCAATGAAATGCTATATATCAGTTTAAATAAATAAACTAGAGTTACATGCATCAAAACATACAGCAACAAGAATGATCTATTAACAGCAAGAAAGCAAAAGGACAAAGCCAAGCGAAGATGTGATCCAAAGCACAAGTAGAAGGTTAGCCTTAGAAAGGAACAGAGAGAACATGTCCTCAGCATCAGAATAAAGTATGTAGAGTATGTGAGTACAGATGCAGCTAGGTGGATGGTTCTATGATGGAAAAACGAAGAAGCTCTTTATGATAAAAAGGTATTTTTTTTCCTTTTAAAAGTGAAGTGAGGCACAGTGGCACATGCTTATAATCCCAGCAGTTTAGGAGGCTGATGCAGGAGGATCACAAGTTCAAAGCCAGCCTCAGCAACTTAGCAAGGCCCCAAGCAACTCTGCAAGATCCTGTCTCTAAATAAAATATTTTTAAAAAGTGCTGGAGATATGGCTCCATAAGTAAGCTCCCTGGGTTCAATCTCTGGTACCAAAAAAATAAATGAATAAGTAAAAGTGAAGTGAGGCCAATAGTAGAGAGATGGGTAGCAAGGAATTCTCAGGAGAAAGTACAGTAGAATTTTCTGTCAAATCTGACGCCCCTCTGAGAGGCACAGTCCTGGCTTTGGAATGAGTACAACCAGCAAGAAGCTGGCATGGATGAACCTCAAAATATTATACTAAGTAAAAGAAGTATTGTAGGATTCTATTTACATGAAACATGCAGAATAAATTCATAAAACTGGAATGCAGAGAGTTGGGCACGGTGATGCACACCTGTAATCCTAGCAGCTTGGGAGGCTGAGGTAGAAGGATCGTAAATTCAAAGCCAGCCTCAGCAACTCAACAAGGCCCTAAGCAACTAAGTGAGACCCTGTCTCAAAATAAAGCAAAAAAAAAAAAGGAGGCGGGGGGACTAGGGATATGGCACAGTGGTGAAGCATTCCTGGGTTCAATCCCTGGTATCAACCAACCAAACAAACAAAAAATGTAATGCAGAGTGGTGGTTGCCAGAGGCTGAGAGTAGGAGGGAAAGCAGGTGGGACTGCTCGGTGAGTAAGCAGTTTTACTTTAGAGTGATGGAAATATTTTGGAACCATATACAGGTGGTGATTGCACAACATTGTGAGTACTCTAAATGTCACTGACGTGTTCACTTTTAAAACAGTTGATTTTATTTTGTAATGCACTTTTAAAAGAAGAAAAAACTAAATTAAAACATTGAGTAGGAAGAGAGAGATGTGGCGAGATTGGCTTCCCGTCTCATACCTGAACTGCACACCTAATGAAAGGTGTGGTTTTGCTGTCCACATTTCTATATTTCTAAATATGTGTTCAAATTTCCCCTGCCCCTTTGCCATAATGATGTTAAGGAAGTAAGAAGACCTGTTGATACTTCATTAAGTGCAACCAGTCCTTTCCTCATGGTTATAGAGCTGAGCTTGTATTTGCCAAGGCAGAAAATGTCAATGCAAGCAGTTTGGAAATTAATCAAGAAGACATATTAGGCTTCGGGGATTTCCTATACTAGGTGTTAGAAATTACAAGTAATCTAGAACATAAACATGGGCATCACAAGCCAGCCATCTCAAAAAAGAAAACAAATAATCTGTCATTTGTCACTTTTTCAGACTCCTGAGGAAATGGAGCAAGAGCAGAAAATGAAAAATATGAAGAAGAGAAATAAAAGGATGCAGAAGAAGAGGTGGAAGAAGCAGAGGTAGAGGAGGTATCCTAGGTAGGCAGTGGGAGAAGGTGAAGGTGGAAGAGGAGGAGGAGGAGGAGAATCTGCAGCAGCAGCAGCCGCTGGCACAGGGAAAGTGGGTAGGCTGCAATTAATCACATCTGGGATTTTGGCAGGTGATTCCCCAGAGGAGAGCAGAGCAAGGTGGAGTGCTAATGGGGAAGGGTGACAGTGGCTACGGTGCTGCAGCCTGTGATCTCATCTGGACAAAGAGAAGGGGTAAGTAGAAATAGCTAAAAAAAAAAAAAAAAAAACCACTTCTTTTCTATGCAGCTAAGGGAGCAGTATTTGCCAGTATGTAACTACCCCAGAAGGAGACCCTTCACAACCTCCATCTCCCGCCTGCTTCCAAGGATGTCTATACCATTTGTTTTCAGTCATGATCATATGATGAGCACATGCTGGAATACAGGCTTATCCCTGATCTCTTGAAAAGCAGTGTGTATCCAGAAACTCACCCTCATTTTTCCCACCCTCCTCTCCTCTTCCCATCAGCAGTATCTGTGGTGGCCTAGGCACCTCCCATGCAAGGAAAGGCAAGTCTCATCAACCACAGAGCAAATGCCTTGCCCATGCTGGGCAGCCAAACATGTCTTGGGTTTAAAGACAACACCATTTTCCAAATAATTAAAAGTAGGATAATAAACCACAGCTGCATGATGTTTTAAAATAAATCTAGCTAGTTTATATACGATGCTCATATCATTAATTTTTCTACATTAAATAAATATATATTGAGGAAAAAACTGTATCTTACCAGCAATCCTCGTCTGTGAAGCAGAACAAGGCTCCCGGATGCGCTCCTTCTGTATACTGGGCACTTCTCTACATATCTATAGCATTGGGCCAAAAGGGAAGAGAATAATACTATGTAAATAAAGATGATTCTATTTTCAAAAGAGAGGCATATAAATGATGGCTTTGCCACTTCTCTTGGTCTTAACACCTAGGCTACTATCTCCACCTTATTATCCACCACCATCTTGCTTGAGTCTTCTTTTTTAAATTAATTTATTTCTTTCTTCTAATTTGTTATACATGACAACAGAGTGGATTTCAATTCATAGTACACAAATGGAGAACAATTTTTCATTCCTCTGATTGCACACAAAGTAGAGTCACACCATTCGTATCTTCATACATGTACCTAGGGTAATGATGTCCATCTCATTCCACCATCTTTCCTACCCCCACGCCCCCTCCTTTTCCCTCTCTCCCCTTTGCCCTATCCGAAGTTCCTCCATTCCTCCCATGCTCCTCCCCCACCCCCATTATGGATCAGGTTGGAATGGAACTACCATTTGACCCAGCTATCCCACTGCTTGGTTTATACCCAAAGGATTTAAAAACAGTATACTACAGTGATGCAGCCACATCAATGTTTATGGCAGCATAAAATAGCTAAATTGTGGAACCAACCTAGATGCCCTTCAATAGATGAATGGATAAAGAAACTGTGGTATATACACAATGGAATATTACTCAGCATTAAAAGAGAATAAAATCATGGCATTTGCAGGTAAATGGACGGAATTGGAGAATATCATGCTAAGTGAAGTAAGCCAATCCCCAAAACCAAAGACTGAATGTTTTCTCTGATAAGTGGCTGCTTGAGTCTTTCACCCAACTGACATTACTTTCAAGAATGCCAACCTGTCCTTAAGTATTGTGACCCCCTTTCACCACTCAGACTTCCAGCCTCTCTGCCCATCACTTGATTTCAATTAATACTTTAAATTCTGACTTTCATCCTATCTTTCTGAAATGCTTCTCCAAGTTTCCTTCACCAGCTCATTTCCCTCTATCCATTCATCAAATACCAACATTCCACAGGAAATTTTTTGTTCTTACCCTTGACCTTGGACTCTTTCATCTGAGTCCTGGTTTCCAATGATTTAATTCACCATATGGAGTTTTCAGTAGCTGAAGATTCCCAGTAACATATTTTCAGTTCAGTACCCTCTGTCACCTGGATGTTCAGACACATCCAAATCTGAATTCATTGTCACTATCTTTATTGAAACCCCCTTTGTAAACTCCTCAAGATCCTAAGTGACTTTGGATATCAGTTTACTGGGTAAACCCATCCATCTCTACAGGGTAGCTGTAGGGATCTTTCAAAAAATTAACTTTCCTCCATTGAAAACTTATCCATAGCTGTCCATTTCCCTCAAAGCAAACATTGTTCTCAAGGCTGAGCTCAAATTCCAGAAAGCCCCATGCATGGTAAGGCCTCATGATCTGGTCTATGCAAGCATCTCTCAGCTTTACAGTCTACCAAGACACATTCAGGACCCAAATGCACCATGCTCATTCTCAATCTCCTTCAGAACCTTTCACTTGCAGCTGCTCATCCCCACAATGCCCTTTGTTTTATTCTTAACCTGGTTATTAATTATTCATGCTTTGTAAATTAACTTGGATGTGATCTCCCCCACACCTTCTATCATTATCCCAAAGCCAGGCATGGGCTCCACCTATGGACTTTTCTATGTTATTAATGCTTGTCTATCTGTCTCACCCACAAGCTCTCTGAGTAAGAAGCAATGCCATACTCTTTACTGTATTTCAAGTTTAAAAAGATGCCTAGTATAAAGAGGGAATCCAATAAAAACCTATTAAGTTAATAAAAGAAGAATGAATGAAATATTCCACATTAGTACTTCCTGAAGTGTTGAGATTCTCTGCACAATAAGCATTACTTGGTCTTAGACATTCATAATCCCCCAAAAGGAATTATACTAAGATCTATGTGAAGTCTTGCAATATTATAAGTTTCAGGATGTCTAACACAGTGTTCCCAAACTGATCACCACGACCTTGTCCACTGACAACCTTTGGGTTACATAAATACATGTGCTCTGACTAAATGTAGACTAAGCCTCACAAATGACATAGGAGTCAATTGTCTGAAAGGAGTATGAGAGAGAGAGTAGCAGATGATGTCAGAGATAACAGGAAGTCAGACCATGAGGGGCCTGAAAAATCACAGCAAGGACTTTGGATTTTTATCAGAGAAAGATGGAAAACCATTAGTGGACTTTAATCACAGGAGTTACTGGATCTGAATTACATCTTAACAAATCACTTGAGAAGAGACTGACAAAGGCAGGAGAGGAAGCAGGGAGACTAGGGATAGACCTCTGCAGTTACTAAGACAAGAGACAATGGTGACTGGAGATGAGTCCATAGCAATAGGGGCAGTGAGATGTGGTCAAATTTATAATATTCTTCAAACCTAAGAAAAAAGCTAAAAGAATTATATAGGAAATATATATGTGCTACTTATCATCTACAATTGTCAAATCCTGCTATATTTGTCTTAACGATAGCCATCTTGCCATCCATTAAATCATCCATCTAGTAAATGGAAGAAGCCAATGATGGTGACTTTGAGGTATTGTTTTGGGTTCAGGTTTTCGTGTGTGGGGGGGGTCTCTTTTGAGATATAATTCATATACACACCAAAAGATTGACAACAAGGTTTTGACCTTACCAATAATATGGTGGAACTGCCAACAACTGTCACTCACATACATTAAAGCATGGGGGGGCAGACAGGGAGTGGGAATCAGGAGCTCAATTTTGTGTGTGAGTTTAAGATTCTTATTAGGTGTCCAAGTGGAGATGTTCAGTAGGCAGCTGTATATGCAAGTGTAGAATACAGAGAGAAGTCCAGGCCAGAGGTTAAGATGTGTGCATCATCAAAGCACTAATTCTCAATCACAGAGGCTACATCAATAAAGCACCAGCATCATCAGATACATGAAAATGGCTACCATTTTAAGAGGATCAAAAAGAGAAGAAATGACTGATACGAAGCCCACACAAATGCAAAGTGAAAGCAGGGACACATCTTTTCAAAGTCCCATACAGATTGCATACACTAATATGGCATGTACCAGGCCACAGTTAAAAGAAATCTATAGCTTCATCAACCTTTAACAATTTCCACTGCAAACAAATAATGGTATGAGGACATACACAAATCAATTGCTTTCCTATAGGCCAATAATGAATCTGCTGAAAAAGAAATTAGGAAAACTAGCCCATTTATAGTAACCTAAAAAAAAAAAATCTTGGAATTAATCTGATGAAGAATGTGAAGGACTGCTACAATGAAAACTATAGAACATTGAAGAAAGAAATAAAAGAAGACCTTAGAAGATGTAAAGACCTCCCATCTTGGATAGGCAGAATTAATATCATCAAAATGGCCATGCTACCAAAAGCATTATACAGAGTCTGTGCAATTTCCATCAAAACATCAATGACAGCCTGGGAATAGTGGCACATGCCTGTAATCCCAGCGACTTAGGAAGCTGAGGCAGAAGGATTGCGAGTTCAAAGCCAGTCTCAGCAACATAGCAAGGCCCTAAGTAACTTAGTGAGACACTGACTCTAAATACATTATAAAAAGGGATGAGGATGTGGTTCAGTAGTTAAGCACCCCTGGGTTCAATCCCTGGTACCAGAAAACTAAACCAAACCAAACAAAACATACTAAGGACATTCTTCACAGAACTAAAAAAGCAGTACTAAAATTCATTTGGAAAAATAAGAGGCCCAGAATAGCCACAGTAATCCTGCGCTAAAAGAGCTATGCTGGAGGCATCAAAATGCCAGACCTGATATTATACTACAGAGCCACAGTAACAAAACAGCATGATACTAGCACCAGAAAGATACGGAGAACAATGGAACAGGAAGAAGACACCAAGTCAAACCCACATAAATGCAGTTAGCTATATTAGATAAAAGTACCAAAAACATATGTTGGTAAAAAAAGATAATCATTTTAATAAATGGTGCTGGGAAAACTAGATATCCATATGTAGAAGAATGAAGATAGATCCCTCTCTCTCACCCTGCACTAGAGTCAACTCAAAGTTGATTGAAGACCTAGAAATTAGACCAGAAACTCCCCAACTGCTAGAAGAATATGGATGCCCAACACTCCAACACATCAGCATAGGAACCAACTTCCTTAACATGACCCCTAAAATCACAAGAAATAAAACGAAAAGTAAGTGGAACACCATCAAACTAAAAAGCGTTTGGAGAATCACACTGGCATTGGGGACAAGGACCAAGCATTTGGTATCTAATATGGCACCCCAGATGGGACCCAAGAACAGCCCCTGCTCCAGCTTTCTTGGGCAGGCCTGGCTCTCTAAGCAAACCCACTTCCATGCTGAGGATGCAAGGTGGCTGGAGAACTTGCTGAAGGCCAACTGCAGGAGAGTTATGAGATGGCTGAGTTTGTCTCAGATGAAACTGGAAGAGCTATTCCTGTGAGTAAAGGGAGGGACTATGAGATCATCCCAGCAGCTGCTGAAGCTCCTTTTGCTTTGGGGAATTCCCACCTTCTCTCCCTGAATGGTACAATTTGCTCCATCATGGTCTACTTTGAGAAAAAGGAAACTAAACTCTGTAAAGTCACAAAAAACCCTTAGCCATCCAGTAAGTTCCCTAGTGTGCACGCCAAGATCCTGATTCTACACAGCTGATTACTCTTCATGGGAATAGCTAATCCGTCTTTGTGGGGACACCTGGGGCCACACTGGTGTAGGAGTCCTGGTTAAGTAGGACTCCAGAACCTAGGGATATTTACTCCATACTGGTCTGTCCTAAGTTCTCATCTGTTTGTTGATCTTGGGCTTGGGAATTCCCTCTGGTTATCTCTCTCTATTTTTGTTTTGTTTGTATCTGTTACAGCCCCTTTTAAGAAATGGCCAATACTGCATTGATCCTATAGTAGTCTCTTACGAAGATCTTGGCTGATCATTTTAACGGTTCCCATCTGTCAGCCATGGTTTTGGGGTTCCTCTCT